TGACTGTGTGTTTGTGGCCACACGTTTTGATATCTTTAGTTCGGCAACAGGAGAATTCTATTTGCGGAACATAAAAACATAAAAGCATGAATGACTGTCGCTCAGAGACTTACAATTGTCTACAATTGTAGACATACAAATTCGCGCCTCGTTCTATCTAGTCTCGGAAATAAAAGTTTTCTTTTTCAATAGACTTATCAGAGTGTGACCCGCTTTGGCAATTTGCGCCTTTGCTTTATTTCGATTTGGATTAACTGTGGAAAAGTTTTTATTAATGTACTTAGAAAGCTTAGGGCTTGGCACTAAATTTCTGGATTAAGCTATCAATTCTCATACAGCGTAGTTGCAAGAAGTGGAAGAAAGAAATTTCATATCCCTCAATTAGTTTCACCCGCAGTTGAAAGTTTAATTTATGATAGAAAACGCTTACTTACGTAAACCGTATTGGTGTGAAATATTTACACTAGGCACTTCCCACTGCAGTGCTGCTCTAGCCATAATTATTTTATGTTCACATTCCACACGTACATACTTTCAGGAAGTGATTCGAAAAGCCATTCTAAGAACTTGTTATATCAGCTTAAATTTACGACAGCAAACAGCAAGGGGGGAAGAAAACGTCAGTGCAACCGATGCCTCGAATACACTGACAGTTTCATAATAAGCTCAAGTGTTCCCACAGTGAACTACATACTGAAATATATTTTGCTGCCTGCAGCAAGATCGTGAAGGGTTCATTGCCCATACATAGTCTCTGCAATTTTGCAAGCTTTCAAAAAACTTAAAAAGCAGTCAGATATTATATTATGCTGACAGAATCGGAGAGAACTTGACACTTTTCCTGACGCTTTTGACAGGCGATAATTGAAGTGGCTTCGAGTCTTCTTAATGTAAACGTCGCATCGTGTCAAGACCATTGTATGAATGAGCTAATATATACGGTTATGTTATGCAAACTGCTAATGGAATGCAAATCTTGGATGCTAAATCACTAAAGGCTGCTGGGCTAAATTAGTGCGCGTTAATGGCATCAGCTTTTGCGATTAATTATGTCTTTTTACAGCACAACGTACAGTGCCACAACAATATTACACAATTGATCGCGTACACGTGCATCGGGTTCAGGAACTTTTTTCCTATCTGATCGTAAGACGCTGAATTCCGTTCCCGCAAGCTTTAAAGCGATTGACGAGCGATACATTTCTCCTGCTAGAAATGTATAAACATGTACACACAAATGTATAAAGTATGTTTACACGATTAGTATTGTTTATGCCAGAGACTGGTAGTAGAACGGATTACGGACTGGAATCTGTTTACTCATCCTGAAATCGCAAGCAACATTTATTGTGGATTTTGCACTTGCAAAGGTTATGTTAGGATCAGAACCTGAGGAGTTGTTTCCATGTCCGCCCTTTCAGTTAGGGAAATTTTAAAAATGATTAGCATAATTAAGTGTGTTCGATTATCATTACCTAATGACACACATTTCAAGTAATTTCCTCTAAAGATTAAAGCAGTCAGGTTGTCGAGCTTTGCATTACTTGCCCGTGTACGTGTACGGCTGCGAGCGTGTCCTATCAGTTGAATATTTTGTTTTTAATTTAATTATTATTATTATCTACGTTCATACGTATGCTGAAACATATGTATTGTGATTATCAGACAGACGTTACTCATCCATTCCTCATGGAACCAAACTCACAATAAATTATGTGTTGAGACTCTGAGCGGATTACCACTTAAAAGGGAAATACCAACTTGAACCATGCTTCCCCATGGCGTACATATGTACATACAGAATGGAATATATTTATTCTTGATATTGATGAAAAGTGGGCCACTGCCAAAGATGAGAATTGCCATAAGCCTGAAGCTGCGCAGTGCGCACCTGATTCTTGTTCGGTTGTGAAGTGACTCAACATAAGTAATTGTTTATACAAATATTCAAGAATTAGTTGTAGAAAGATTCGCCCAGTGAAGTGAGTCAATTCAGATGGGGAAAAGTCAAAGGCAATGCTATTACAATTTATTTTAATTGATAGCAAGTGGCATTCCAGAATTCTGAGCTCCGAGCACAAGTGCTTGCTTTCCCAAGATACGAAAACACTTCAGAATGTTGTTGTTGTTGCTGTTGTTTTGTTTGGCACGAGTATTTGATATTTGTTATTGCTGTTTGTAGGATAGTCGGGTTGCATTTGTAATTCATCGTCGAACCCGCAGGTCAGCCATGGTGGCTCTTTGGCTCTGCGGCTCTACGTACGTGGAAAGGTAGCCGCAGACTTAATTGACATTATTTACAAAGCAGCAAAAGATAGCTGTGGGAACTCTGACAAGCCGCTCAGGCCGGCAGGATATCGTAATAATGATAACCTCGTCCATAGAATGAATTTCTATGAAATATTCACCGTATTGGGACCTTCGTCCCTCTGGGCAGCGAACCGCTACACGAACATCTTCAGCCTTTAATTCAGCGGTCACTTACTTCTATTCCAAAGCCCATACAGCTGTAGTAGCGCCAGAGCCCGGCTCGGGTCGGGCAGGAATTATGTACGAGTACATTGCGCAAGCGACGTGTAATGAGAGAATTAAAAATACAGAAAGCAGAAGTAAATGCATTGTCGCCCTGCCCTTCTGTCTGCCAGACGCTATCCGCTATCCGCTTCCCCCTTCTTCTCCTTCTCCTCACACCACTTCAACACTCTATTCAGATTAAATTTTTGTTGCTACCGCTGCCGCTGCCGACGCAATGTTGACGGCCGCGACCGACTCTCATTAAGCGCCGCTTGAGCGCTGTTTACGCAGCTGCAGTACAGTGGATCCTCTCCCACACCCACAAAAGTTCGCCTTTGATAAGCCCATACAAAAATGCGGATTCTAAACCTAATTTGAAAACTTTTTTAATATATTCCATCAGTGGTTACGTTTAAAAGATCTTGAGAGATCTTAGGAACCTGAAAATAAAGTGAAATTTAAAGGAAAATGTCTGAAAATCTTATAAAACAGTTAGTAAGGTTCGACTTTATGAATATTGACTGTAATTGTTCTTGTTTGCGTTGACCGCCGCAACGTTCTCTTATATTTTGTTTTTGCCGGCTTCAGCTTTTTTTCTATGTTGCAATTTTGTATGTTGAAATTTTCTGTGTTCTCAATCTTGTGCAACTGTTTGTTCTGTGCATTTATTGAAGTATGTAGATTTTATTACCTGGCGCAATCTTGGTGAATGTTGGGGGTTGATCGGTCGGCAGTGTTTGATGAATCAGCCTAGCGATAGAACATTGATCTATGGGAGAATACAAATATGTAGAGAGGGTAATTGACGTGATAACTTAGTTCTGCGTATATAATTCAATCGTTCAAACATTATATGCATACTAATGGTACTAGATATTGCTTAGATAAATTTCCCTACGAGTTTCCCCCTTTAATGATTTGATTTACATTTGAATCAGCCTGAAGGGAGGAAACGATCCCATCATTCCAAGAACTAACTTTCAGGCACACAATGACGAGAAAAATTATATTCACGCTTAAATATTTATAAGTTCTGTAATTTTTTAAGATTGTTCTGTGGCAGAATACCAATTAGTGGGGAAATGTTTAAAGATGAATTTACTTTTTTCTCCTGATTTTGCGTACTCTTTTGCGGCTTAAATTATACTACGAATGCATACTAATATTTACGTACTTACTCAACAAATTTCCCCAAGAACATCCGCGGTAATTACATGACAATCAAGAAAAAAAATGTGTTAACTGCGTTTTTCCTAAAAATGACTAATAGAAGTTCTTCATGGAAAACTTACATGTACAACGGAATTGGGTCCAAGATATTTGCCCTACGCATTTACATGATAATATCGTGTTAGATATTCCTTGCTCAATCATGATGATTCTAGTAAATGTTATTCCATCATTTGGATGATTGTTTTGCTGATCTCGATCTCGATATGGTCTCAAGGTCTTTGCTCGTTAACGCATATGGGTCGCACACCTTGTTGTTTTTATTGTTAAATAATTATTTGTGTATCAATTCTTTGTCGTTTTCGTTGAGTCACACTTCGAAGTACGCCCCAAAAGATAGCCTGTTAAAAAAGACCCTGCACATTAGGTTTATTAGCGACGCATCTTGGAGCTTCTTGGTGATGCCCCAGCGGGCTCCTTCATTGGGTAAAAGGACCCATACCGAGGTTAACAACGACTACACTTCACACCAATAAACTCCCATCGGTAAAAAACGTACCGTTTAGGAGCACAAAATTTAATTAGCGTGACTTAAACTTGAAATCGAACGCCGCTCGGTCAGTCAGCCCCGAGTGTTGACTCCGTTGCGGCGTGCATTGCCAAATTATACGAGTGTTTGATATACGAATGCGTGTATGATTTTTGTTGTGTGTTCGACGCGTCTACGCTCGTTTGTCTACTTGGCCAGAACCAAGCGGCTCCAACGTTGTCGCCTGCGCAGTTCTTCCGCAGTCGTCAGGTGGCGGTTTAGGCGAGCGTCGGCGCAAGCGCATGGGCAAAGGTTTTACAAAAGTGAAGAGCAGACAACAAAAGTACTCCAGCATATACTAAAGAATGAAGATAAGAGGAACTGCAGAATACCATAGACGAAAGGGCGAAGTAGTGTGTGTGTGTGTGTGTGTGTGTGTAGTGCCGTTCATTGACGCAGTTCTGTTTTGCTTTCAGCTTCGTCGCGCAGTTTCGTATTGGGCTTTGCATTCGCAATTTGATTTCTTGTGGTTCGCTTCGGTTCAAGACGCGCTCTAATTGTGACTTTTGAAATCTCATGGAGTGCTGTGATAAAAGCCATTCCCCCTCCAATTAAACATTTAACTATTTGCCTTGAGGGGCACAAATTACGCTCCTGACCCCCGCGCCCTCATATAAACCGAAACTGAATTGTTTTGTTTTTTTGTAATCCCTCGAATGTGAATTATGTGTGTGTGTTAAACCAGTAAACCAAATACTAAATAATATTTCTTTGTTACAAATTACAGCAAAAAATAAACAAAAACATTGAAACTCTCTGCTGTGCTTGATATGGGCCTGGAAATCGTACTCCTTGCCAAGCACACAACATAAATCTAGAGTCTAAAACAAGAAAGTTCGTGAACGGAAAATAAAAAACATACAAAATGGATAGCAGCAAATTGTTAAAGAACGTCTATGGAATCGACATCCGTTTCGAAGATCTCGTCTACCAGGTCAACGTGCCCAGACAACACGGTAAGCATGCTCCTCCACCCACACCCAACCCAAATCCAAGTGCAACGTGGAATTCTCATTGTGCCGGCATGTTCCCTCCTGGGAGCCACAGGTGTCGCAGCCTTTTGTTATTATTATTTTTTCCAGCTGTGCGTGTCGTACTCAAGACTGCCATAAGTGACGCAGTGCGATCTTTTCGGTGATTGTCGTATCCCTGCTTTATTATTATTACTTTTGACTTTTGGGGGTTAGTCGTGGTGCCATTTAATTGAATTAATGATAATTGCGCTATCTATGTAGAGTTTTACTGTTTTAAAGGTTTTATTGGTTCACCTTTCGTCACTTCTAGCCTGTCGGCCTCGAAACACATAACTTAATTGCTATTACACTTGAATATTTAATAGGTTTAAACGAGATTAATTTACATCAAATATGTAAGAACGGGTACAAGTTGGACAGTCCAACGATCTGGCAAAAAAGTTCAAGCAGCTCGAAGAAGTTGAGCCGCGGAATGCGTAGACTAAAAGTTCAAAGTTCCAAATGGTTGACCATACGAAAAATGACTCAAAACAACTCAAAAGTTGCCTTGACACCGGCATTCAATCTTAGTGTCTTCTTTTGTAGACATAAACCATAAAATATCTTTACTGCAGCAGATACTAATTCAAATTTATTTCTGTCTACACATTTTCCTTTGCAGAAAAGAAGTCTGTGCTGAAGGGCATCGCAGGAACATTCAAATCTGGCGAACTGACAGCCATCATGGGACCCTCGGGTGCCGGCAAATCTAGTCTAATGAACATCCTGACGGGCCTCACAAAGTCTGGCGTCAGCGGGAAGATAGAGATTGGCAAGGCACGGAAGCTGTGCGGCTATATCATGCAGGATGACCATTTCTTTCCCTACTTCACTGTGGAGGAGACAATGCTCATGGCGGCCACACTTAAAATCTCCAACAAATGCGTCAGTATGAAGGAGAAGCGAACACTGGTGGGTGAATGGACAGCAGATTGGCAGTTGATAGATCGACTAAGCAAATCATTTGTTGTTTTTGCAGATTGATTATTTGCTGAACTCGCTAAAGCTGACAAAAACGCGGCAAACAAAGTGCTCCAATCTGAGTGGCGGACAGAAGAAGCGTCTATCAATTGCCCTGGAGCTGATAGACAATCCAGCAGTTCTATTTTTAGACGAGCCCACAACGTAAGTAGCAGAGGTCCCGACCAGACCAGACCAGACCAGAACAGACCAGCATCAGGGATGCGGTCGTGGGGTGGGGCAGCAGGGAGCCAAACCAGTTGCTGACTGACATTCGACAACCTTGAACCATCCCACAGGGGCCTGGATAGTTCATCCTCCTTCGACACGATCCAACTGCTGCGAGGCCTGGCAAACGAGGGGCGCACCATTGTGTGCACGATCCACCAGCCTTCGACGAACATCTACAATCTCTTCAACCTGATCTACGTGCTCAGCGCCGGTCGATGCACCTACCAGGGCACGCCCCAGAACACTGTCATGTTTCTGAGCAGCGTAGGACTGGAGTGCCCGCCCTACCACAATCCCGCCGACTTCCGTGAGTAGTGTAGACAGTACCCTTTCGCCAATTAGCACCACTCATCCATCATCATCTCCACACTTCATTTGCAGTGCTGGAATGCGTCAACGGTGACTACGATGATCACACCGAGGCTCTAGCGGAAAGTGCCAAGAACAAACGTTGGCGCTACGATCAGCAGCTGATGCAGGGCGAGTCAGCGGAGCCGCCCAGCGAGGCTCAACTTGCCAAGTTCAATGAGTCACAGTCGCCCGGGCATGTGCAGAAGGTTGAGATACAAAGCCTGGACTCCTCCAAGGAGCTAACACGGCACACATTCCCGCCAGCGGAATGGATGCGGCTGTGGCTGCTCATTGGACGCTGCCATATGCAGTTCTTCAGGGATTGGGTAGGCTCAAACCTACAAGAAAGCCCTTGGCATAGCGAAATATATTAAAATATCTTTCTTACAGACACTCACATACCTCAAACTTGGAGTGCACATAATCTGCGCTGTATTGGTTGGCCTTATCTTTGGCGACTCTGGCAGCAATGCCACCAAACAAATCTCGAATGTGGGCATGATTATGATCCACTGCGTTTATCTCTGGTACACCACCATTATGCCGGGAATACTGCGATGTGAGTAGATCAAACTGCTTTCCATGAATTGACTTAACGTTTCGGGTAACCCTCCAGATCCATCCGAGATAGAGATCATCAAGAAGGAAACCTTTAACAACTGGTACAAGCTGCGAACCTATTACCTTGCCACCATAATCACTTCCACACCAGTTCATGTAAGTTTTCATGGTATCCATTCTAATCCGTCTCCAATTAATGAATATTTTTTGTTTTTAGATCATCTTCTCCACGGTATATATCACGATAGGATACCTCATGACCGAACAGCCCGTCGAGATGGATCGATTTGTGAAATATCTGCTCTCAGCCGTGGTGGTTACCATCTGCGCCGACGGCTTGGGCGTGTTTCTGGGCACCGTGCTGAATCCAGTTGTAAGTGATGGAGCGAGTCTCTAGGAGCCCCTTTTTAATTTTCAAATTTCATCTCCTTTCCAGAATGGAACGTTTGTTGGTGCCGTTTCCACGTGCTTCATGCTGATGTTCTCCGGTTTCCTCATTTTGCTGAACCACATTCCGGCTGCGATGCGGGTTGTCGCTTCATTATCACCGTTACGTTATGCCTTGGAGAATATGGTCATAGCGCTTTATGGCAACCATCGAGAACAGCTGATCTGTCCGCCCACGGAGTTTTACTGCCACTTCAAGTGAGTGCAAAAAGCAAACGATTTCTGCATCATATTTTAATGTGACCTTATCCGTTTAGAAACGCCGTTACTGTGCTGCGTCAGTTTGGAATGGAGCAGGGCGACTTTGGCTACAACATCATGATGATTCTTGGCCAAATAACGCTGTTCAAGGTGTTGGCCTACTTCACGCTGAGGCACAAAATCAAAAGGATTTAAACTGGGACTACTTCATAGTGTATGCTTGTAGTATTGGGCTTAATATGGGCTTAATCGAATGTGATTTTATGTTACTTATCGCTTAGTTGCAAATAAACCCAACTCTTTAATATCGGCGTGTGATACTTTAACAAATGCAACGAAACCCATTGCAATGCTAATGCTAACTGTTGCTGCAAACAAACCCCCTAAACATAACGATCCATAGTTTTTATACTGCTTATGTATGGCTTAACCGCATCTGTATGAATGCTTATGTATGTTTATGTATGTAAATTTAATTATCTGTCTAGTTAACCTATTATTTAAGCGCGACCTGTGTGAACAAACGAAATAAACTATATGAAGAACGATACTTGTCCTGTTGTCCTAAAGTAAACTTGTTTGATTGGGAAAGGTTTAAGATATTTATCGTTGCTTTATCCACTTGTTTCATGGAAAGAAAATATGGAAAAATCGAATTTTCTACAAACACATTGGTTGACTGTTCTCAGGGGTCATCCATTAATATGTAAAATGCAGTCCTAAGTAGCATTTCTTTGTTAAAATGTGAGAGTAGTTACAATAAAATATTTAATTTTAAATAACGTACATTCCACTGAAAACGCGTTAGTGTATTCATCGGTGTACTTGTCACTCATACCTGCGTTATCGATAGCACAAGAATCGAAGAGCCAGATTTTGAATCTTTCTCCAAAATATTGTTCATATAATAGCTTAATCTTGTTGTCTAGCAACAATTACGAAACATTCAGAATACAATTACGATTCATTCCCTTCCCACCAACGTGTTTGCTTGTTTACGGTATGTGTATTTGTTTAAGTACATTTCGGTATATTTCTGAAGGTAAATTTTATGTATACATCCGCGGTCACACTGGTGGACAAACAACAAAAAATAAATAAAAACTTGGAAAAATTCAAAAATTGCGATACACCCATTAAATAAGAGAAAAAAATCAAAAAGGGAAAACAGATAAAGCAACAAATCATGTTTCGATCGAGCTTTGATAAGAATTTAGGTAAGATTTTACATAAAAGCAGAGAACAAGAGAAAATGAAGCCAGAAAAATGACTCATCAGAAAAGCAAAAAAAAGAAACAAAATTAACAATAAAAGCGAATGACCTGCCAGCGCTTTTCAATTGTGAAGATTGAGGTCTGACTCTTTTTTTATGTTGCAGAGAGCGCCACGAGCCATCTACGCTTGGAGCCAGACTGGCCCTCCATACTCCTCATTTGCGATGAAATCAATCAGAAAGATGTTACGTAGGTTGAGACTGCCTGTTATCTGGTTCCTCTTAATTGCTAATTTCTACTCCCGCAGACCGAAGAATGCCTTCGCCGCGATCAAGAAGAAAATGAACTCACCCAATCCGCACTCGGCCTGCTATTCGCTGCTGGTGCTGGAGAGCATCGTAAAGAACTGTGGCGCACCCGTGCACGAGGAGGTGTTCACCAAGGAAAACTGCGAGATGTTCAGCAGCTTCCTGGAGTCCACGCCCCACGAGAACGTGCGCCAGAAAATGCTGGAGCTGGTGCAGACCTGGGCCAATGCCTTCCGCTCGTCGGACAAATATCAATCCATTAAGGTACGCCAAGCGATGATTCACTTATTATCTTATCTGGTCAATCCAACCCCACAAGAGTATCGCAACGTCGACTTGCAAAGCTCTCCCTTTGTTCGCTTTTTGTACTTAATTTAATTAGTGACTAGCCTCCGTTTGTGTTTGCTAGAACGCAGTGCAAAAATGAGCTCCGAGGAGGAACTTAGCTTGGAAGAGGCATCCCCAGTAGGCAGTAGAAAATCAGCTGAATATCTCACCAGTAATAATTCCCTAACTTGCAGGACACCATGACCATCCTGAAGGCCAAGGGACACACGTTTCCAGAGATGAAGGAAGCCGACGCTATGTTCACGGCCGACACGGCGCCCAACTGGTCCGACGGCAAGGTCTGCCACCGCTGCCGCGTGGAGTTTACCTTCACCAACCGCAAGCATCACTGCCGCAACTGCGGCCAGGTGTTCTGTGGCCAGTGCACGGCCAAGCAGTGCCCGCTGCCCAAGTACGGCATTGAGAAAGAGGTTCGGGTGTGCGATGGCTGTTTTGCAGCACTCCTGCGTCCCGCTGGGAGTGTCGCCGTTGCCGTCAGCAGCGCCAAGCCTGGAGCACGTCCAGCGGATAGCGATTTGCCGGCGGAGTACTTGAACAGTTCCTTGTCGCAGCAGGTGCAGGTTTGTCAGTCGAACGAAATGCACACAAAAATGCTCATGAAACAGTCTTTAATTTTGCAGACGCCCGCCCGCAAGACCGAGCAGGAGCTCAAGGAGGAGGAGGAGCTGCAACTGGCGCTGGCCCTCAGCCAGTCCGAGGCCGAGCAACAGAAGCAGAAGCTGCAGCAAACGACGCTGACATCAGCGGCAGCCGCTTACCGCATGCAGCAGCGTTCGCCGAGTCCAGAGGCGCCGCAGGCACCCAAGGAGTACCAGCAGGAGGAGGCAACCAACCCGGAATTGGCCAAATACTTGAACCGCAGCTACTGGGAGCAGCGTAAAATCAGCGAATCCTCCTCCATGGCCAGCCCATCTGCCCCAAGTCCCATGCCGCCGACGCCACAGCCGCAGCAAACGTTGCCCGTGCAGCCCAAGACCGCCGATGAGGTGCAGATCGATGAGTTTGCCGCCAACATGCGCACCCAGGTGGAGATCTTCGTGAACCGCATGAAGTCCAACTCGAGCCGTGGTCGCAGCATTTCGAATGATTCCTCTGTGCAGACTCTGTTCATGACGCTGACCTCGCTGCACTCCCAGCAGCTGTCGTACATCAAGGAGAAGGACGACAAGCGCATGTGGTACGAGCAGCTGCAGGACAAGCTGGCACAGATCAAGGACTCGCGTGCCGCCTTGGACGTGCTGCGGCAGGAGCATGTGGAGAAGCTTCGTCGCATAGCCGAGGAGCAGGAGCGCCAGCGTCAGATGCAAATGGCCCAAAAGCTGGAGATTATGCGCAAGAAGAAGCAAGAATATCTGCAGTACCAGCGCCAGTTGGCACTTCAACGCATTCAGGAGCAGGAACGCGAGATGCAGCTGCGCCAGGAGCAGCAGAAGGCGCAGTATCTCATGGGACAGTCGGCCCCATTCCCCTACCTCCCTGCCACTGGCGTAGCTCCGCATGGCTCACCGTCGCATCAACCGAACAGCGTCTATAATCCGTATGTTGCTGCTGCTCCAGGGTATGCCGCACCTGCACCCAATGGCCATGGACAGTTCCAGGGTATTCCGCCGGGCATGTACAATCCGGCCATGGCCCAGCCACCGACAAATGCAGCACCACCCGGCATGATGCTGCCTCCGCACTTACAGCAGCCGGGCAGCATGATGCATCAGCCACCGCCAGCCAATGCGCAGCTGCAACATGCGGCACCTCCACCACAACAGCAACCACCACAAATGGGTCATGTGATGCTCCAGCAGCAGCAGATGGTTCAGCCTCATCCCCCGCCTCAGGCACTAGCTCAACCACCTCCCCCGGCAATGCATCAAGCACCCGCACAGCCACTACCCCAAGCACCACAACTGGCACCTCCCCAGGCACCACCGCAGGTCCAACCCGTCACCGAGATCGCCAATAATCAAGTTCAGGCCATTGCTGCTGCACCCGCTCCACCACAGAATGAGCCAGAGGCGAAGCCGAAGCCTGTCAAAGCAGAAGAGCCAGCCACGGCCGAGCTAATAAGCTTCGATTAATGCGAAAATGTCCCCCAGAGTTGAACGAAATATATTATCATATGGATCTTAAGTCGAGTGAAGTTCCGCGAAATCCTATGCGAGATCAACAACTCATTTACCTAATTTTAGCCGCACTCATGTTATTCCACAATAAACCGCACTGTATTCTATATTATCTTATTTTATTATAAATATTAGCAGTCAACAGCAAACTTAAAGGACAAATGTAAACGGTTAGATTGAAACTGTTTTAGTTGGTCGTAACCCAACACTTAATTTAAGCATCAGACAGCGCTGCCACACCAGGCAGAACCTTGCCCTCGAGCAGCTCCAGTGAAGCTCCACCGCCCGTGGACACATGCGACACCTTGTCTGCGCCACCGAACTGCTTGCAGGCCGTGGCCGTATCTCCGCCGCCAACGATTGTCGTGGCGCCACGTGCGGTGGCCCCAATGACCGCCTCCAACATGGCTCTGGTGCCATGGGCAAAGTTTTTGTTCTCGAACAAGCCCGGTGGACCGTTCCAAACAATTGTCTTGGAAGCGCAAATGGCTCCAGCAAATATTTCAATGGATATCTTGCCAACATCAAGACCCATCATATCTTTGGGTATACCCTGCTTTGCATCCACGGCCACGATTCCGTCCGGGCTGCTGTCGATTTTGTTGGCGCACACAAAGTCCACGGGTAGAATTATGTTGACATTTTTCTCCTTTGCTTTTGCCATTATTTCGGGCACCATGGCGGCACCTTTCTCGTCGAACAACGACTTGCCAATCTCCATGGAGTTGAGAGTTTTCAGAAATGTAAAGGCCATGCCACCAGCCACAATCATGACTGAAACATTATTGAGAAGATTCGTTATGAGTGGGATTTTATCAGCGATCTTTGCTCCCCCGAGAATGGCCAGGAACGGCTTGACTGGTTCTTGCAGCACCTTGGCAAAGTACTCTAACTCCTTGTCCATCAGCAGCCCGGCAGCTCGAAGTTTGTAGCCCTCACCCAACATGGAGCTGTGGGCACGATGGGCAGTGCCAAAGGCATCATTCACAAAAATCTCCCCCAGCTGGGCTAACTTGCTCCGAAACTGCTTAACCTTCTCCGGGTCAGCCTTGATCTTCTTTTTGTTCTTATCCTTAGTGCTGCCCGTCTCCTCGGCGTAGAAGCGAAGATTCTCCAGCAGTAGAACGCTACCCTCTGGAGGATTCTTCACCGCATCTAGAGTACTCTCCCCCACGCAGTCGTCGAGAAAGCACACCGGCCTGCCCAGCACCTTCTGGAGCTCCTTGGCTACCGGTTCGAGGCTGAATTTTGTGTTCTTTTTCCCCTCCGGACGACCCAAATGCGAAGCCAATACCTGATTGGAGAATTGGGAACGATAATGAACGTGCGCAGCTGGAGATCTACTCACCAGGCACTTGCACTTCTTGTCCAGCGCGTACTTGATGCTGGGAAGAGCCGCGACTATACGCTGAAAGTTAGTTATTTGGCCATCCTTAATCGGAACATTGAAGTCCACCCTGTAAAGCAAACTCCATACATACAGATTTCCACTTACAATACTCCTTACCGCATGAACACACGCTTGCCTTCCACATCAACGTTCTTGAGGCTCAGCTTCTTTGATGGTTTGCTGCTAAAAGCTTGGCCAGATGCAAATTTGAGAAGCGAACGTCCAGAAGCAAACATTTTCCGTTGCTTTTTAATCAACTTTGAAATAAAACGAAAAGAAAACTGTCTATCGATGTATCGGCAAAGTAATTATACAATTTTACATGTTTTAGTTCTTGATTTTTACAAATTTAAAACTACTTTACCTACTCTTCATGCTTCATCTTCATTTGTTTTTTACCACTGACTTTAACGGTGATTCTTCGATATATGAAATAAAACTATCGATAACTAATATAATCGTGTGAGACAGAATCGCACCAATGCCATCGCAATACGTCGTCCATATCGATATAATAATGCAAACCCCATGAAACACAACAATAGAGTTTAATTAAATTGTTTTGCCGTAAAAACACAAATATTTCTTGAAAATGGGTGGTGGTGATCTGGTAAGTAGTGCCCTGCTATACGGGAACGTCAAGAATCATTGTTATTTCCGCACAGAACTTGAAGAAGTCATGGCATCCGCACACAATGAAAAACCAGGAGCGGGTTTGGAAAGCCGAAGAGCAGGCCAAGATGGAGGAGAGAAAATTACAAGATCTACGCAAGGAAATCCACGAGGAGCGGGATCGGGAGGAGCTTAGACGCTTGGGCGAGAGCTCTGGTGTGCTGGCCAGCAATGGTGGAGCACCCGGCGAGGCCAAGCTGGAATGGATGTACAAAAGTAAGTCCAGCCCATGAAAAGCAGCATCATTTATGGCCCTAAACAATGTTACAGACAGCACGGAGCTAATTAATCGCGAAGAGTACCTGCTGGGCCGTAAGATCGACAAATCCTTTGAAACGCTGCAGGCCGAGGAGCGGCAGCAGGAGCACAACACTGTGGGCGTCAAGCAGTCCATCAACCATGTCGAGCACGAGTGTGTGCCCTTCTCCATACGTGCGTACCGCAACCTGCAGTCCACGGAGCAGGTGGACATGCAGCGCAAGACCATGGAGGACCCGCTGATGCTCATCAAGCAACGCGAAATGGAATCGCGACGAAAGTTGCTGGAAAATCCAGTAAAACTAAAGGAAATTCATCGCATTCTAAAGACGGAGCAGGACTTGAAAGCCGCCAAAGAAAAGAAATCAAAAAAGAGTAAAAAATCCAAAAAGAAGAAACACAGGAAGAGGTCTAGCGATGAGTCGAGTAGCAGCGAAAGCGACGAGGATCTGGACCGAAAGTTGGCACGGCAAGTCAGCAAGCTGAAGGGAGACGCGGGGAATGAAGACCTAAAACTGGACAAGCTGTTGGACGCCAAGTATCGAACCATATCCAAGCAGCTGGACATGGCAACAAAGCGGAAGAAGGGCAAAAAATCCCGGCGCAAACGCAGCGACAGCAGCAACGAAAGCAGCAGCGATGAGCGGTCCCGAAGAAGGGAGGCTGAGCATAGGAGAAGGGATAACCGGAATGGGAGCTCGAGGCACAGTCAAGAGGAGCCGAGAGCACATCGTGGTGGCAGCAGCAGCCGCAACTCGCGACGAGAGCCGCAGACACAGCGTCCAAGAAGAAGTCCAGACAGAGGGAACGCACGCAGGGAACGAGATCGAAGGGACCGCAGCAGCAGGAATCATCCAGTTCAAAGAGAACGCAGCAGAGACCGCAGTCCCATCCGTCGACGTCGCAGCCCCAGCCCCAGTCCGCCGCCGAAACGAACTTCACCCCCTAAGCGACAGGCCGGCAAACCAAAGCTCAGCGAAGCCGACCGTGAGGCCCGTCTCCGAGAGATGATGGACAATGCCACATGGCGAGAGGCTGATCGCACCCAAGCCGTGCAAAGGCACCGCGAGGCATATGCCCGTGAAGAAGCACAGAACAAGGAGCGCGACTTTGACAAGGAGTTCATCAACAAGGAGGTGAAGAAGGCCATTTCCAATCACAACTCGATTGGCGATCGCATTCGGGCCAATCTAAACAACATTCAGCGCACCTCCTCCGCCATGGATACGAACTTTGCACGAAAGTAGAAGCCACGCCAGCCACAGCCGTAAGCTAAATAATATTCCTTTATTTGCAACAAAATGATTCAACTTTGTGTGTGTTTGTGGGACTTACAAGATAAACGACGCGATTAACATACATATTCGGAGAGTGTTGCCAGATGGGCAGAGTTTAGGCGTTGGAGAGAGCGGCAACGCCGGGCAGTGTCTTACCTTCCAGCAGCTCCAGGGAGGCACCGCCACCGGTGGAGACGTGCGAAACGAGTGCTTCAGTGTTCCATTTGGCGCAGCACGAGGCTGTGTCACCGCCACCAATGATGGAGACCGTGCCGTTCTTAGTGGCTGCCACAACGCCGTCCATAATGGCCTTGGTGCCATTGGCAAAGTTGGGGAACTCGAACACGCCGGGAGGTCTGCGGCACAAATTGGAGTTGCAGAGAATGTAATTCAGAACTGACAGCACTTACCCATTCCAGACAATGAGCTTGGCGCGTGCCACAGGTGCTGCAAACAGCGCACGGGTCTTGGGTCCCACATCCAGGCCCATGTGTCCATCGGGAATGCCACTCTCGACAGTGGCCTCGCTGACGGCTGCGTTCTCAGCGAACTTGTCACCGCAGACAAAGTCCACGGGCAAGTGCAGCTGAACGTTGTTCTTCTTGGCCTTTTCCACTAGGTTCTGGACAATCTTGGAGCCCTCCTCGTCGAACAGGGAACCGCCGATCTTCATGTTGTTGAGGACCTTGAGGAAGGTGAAGGCCATGCCGCCGCCAATGATCATCTCATTGACCTTGTCCAGCAAGTTCTCGATCAGCTGGATCTTGTCGGCAACCTTGGCGCCACCCAGGATGGCCAGGAAGGGATTTGGGGGCTTATCAAGGGCCTGGGAGAAGTACTTGAGCTCCTTGTTGAGCAGCAGGCCAGCGGCACGCTTCTCGAAGCCATCGCCCATCATGGAGCTGTGGGCGCGATGGGCAGTGCCGAAGGCATCATTAACGTAGACATCGCCCAACTTGGCCAGGCTGCTGCGGAACTCCTTGACCTTGGCGGGATCGGCCTTTACCTTGCCGCCGCTGGCGTCCAGGCCCTTGCCCTCCTCCTCCACATAGAAGCGCACATTCTCGAGCAGAATGACGGAGCCAGGCGCGGGGTCCTTGCAGGCGGCCTCCACCTCACTGCCGACACAGTCGCTGAGGAATTTAACATCCTGTCCCAGCAGCTTCTTCAGCTCATCGGCCACGGGGGCCAGCGTGTACTTGATGTTCTTGTTGCCATCGGGACGACCCAGATGAGACATCAGCACCACGGACTTGGCCTTCTTGGACAGGGCCAGCTTTACGCTGTCCAAAGCAGCCACAATGCGCTGGTTGCTGGTGATCTTTCCCTCCTTGATGGGCACATTGAAGTCCACACTGCAGGGGAAAGAGAACGAAACGGAGGTTTATGCAACTCGGTGGCCAGACACAGGACCAAATCTGTTCCACAATTACCGCATCAACACCCGCTTGCCCTCCAAGTCCAGGTTCTCAATGCTCAGCTTATTGAAGGCCATTTTAATACGGTTTAT